ATAGAAGAAAATGCATGATCTGTTAATTGTACCAAAATAATCTGAAAATTATTATTAATTAATCTGTTAATGTTTTTTTTTTTTGCATCATAGAGCAACATAGTTTAGTTGCAAAATTTACATTTAAATTTATATTTGACAACTAAACATTCGTCAGCAATAAATACTAATTTTATAATAGATCTAAATAATAAACTGTAATAAAATTTATATATTTAAACTGAATAAATTTTTGTGTCCAAAAATATGTGGAGATTATTTTCTAAAGTCAAAAAGAAAACATTTGTTTTGGAAATACACATTAGTATGATAAAATAAAATAAAAAATTCAATTGCATAAATCTTGTGCATAAGAATATACCAAATTATCTTTTAAATTCAAATATTTTCTATTTTAGAAAAAAATATTAATAAAAGTTCATTTACTTGATACGTGAGATTTCAAATCAATAAAAATATCCAATTATTATTTCACAATTATCAGAATCACCATAATTCCTATGTCCCACTTGGTTATGTTTGTTTGGAATTTTTGATGAACCAACCGAAAAAACATTGAAAAGACATATTTCCATGGAGATTTCAATTGTTTCAGTTTTCAAACACAAATTTTTTCGTTTTATATGGGAAAGTAAGATTTAAAAAAAAATTCAGTTGTGAAATATATTTTTTACAAAGTTAAAATTTTNAAAAAATTAAAATGTGAATATTCTTCCAAGTCAACCATGAGATATAATTAGTTTAAAAAAAAAAAGATATTACACTTTTTGTTGCTTTTTGAGAAAGTAATCTTTGTTCGTTTTTTTTTTAAAGAGCTTAACTAAGATTCTTGCACAGTTTACGAATTCACCGGTGGGGATAACATGATAAGTAAAGTTTGTGAAACTAGACGAACCATTCGTTAAGATAAGTCTAAGAAGTAAATTTTAGTAGACAAATGTTAAAAAAAAACGAAGTTTTGGCAGTCACATTTAATAGTTGAAGCTAGAACTGGAGATTTTTTGAAACAAAGGATCCATGAAATTTCTGAAGTTGAAATTGAAGATGAGAAACAACTTGATGATATTTCTGCAAATTTTTTAATTTCGTTACTTGAAGAACAAGTATCAAATTTTTCTTCATTGATGAAGTATCATGATGTGTGTTGAATATGTGAATGAACTAAATTTAAGAATAGAGAAAAACAAATTCGGAGCTGTTCGTTTACGTGTTTGGACTTAAT